CTTTAAATATGAAAACGTACTTACAGACTGTGAGTCAGAACAGCCGGCATTGTAGTCTACTCTACCAGGATCAGGAAACAGTCCTCCGTAAAATGCGCTGCACACATCTGGATATTTGGGTTGAACTTTTCTGGAACAGTGTGGTAAATACAGCTTAACCACTGATTTCTAGTCGTGTCCTCTTTTGGTAGGCCAAAGTATTTTCGCTTTTGCAACGAAACACAGAGCGTCTTCACAACATGGCGGCGGTGGTGGCAGCAACAATAAAGTTACGCCTTCTTTCTTTGCGTGAACATTTGGACGGCGATATGCAAATCTTCCCACATCATGACGTAGACATGTGGGGACATCATTTTGTGTTTAAACAAAGCATTTTAGGAGGGTGTGAACTAGTGCTGGGCGGTATGACCAAAAATATCACGGTATTTTCCTAAATTATACCGGTTCCACGGTACATGACGGTATTTTTTTTTTTTCATGCATGACCGGGTGTTAACCATATTTTCTACTGACAGAGAGGAAATACTGCAGTATATTGACTTAGAATGCCCTATTTTACTGTCATGATGAGTGAATATTGTCAAAAAATACCACACTTACCTCGTGTTCGCGGGACAGCACTGGCGAAATCTTCCAACTGAACCATAGTTAAGGTTTATCCAAAAAAAAGTCGCTAGGTTTGTCAGTATGAATATTCTATGGGAAAAAGTGAAAAAGCGTTCTGTTAGTTCTACAGCTTCAGTTTCGGAACTTTCACGCTTAATAACACATGCAGCATATGCTTAGTTCCCTCACCACAGTGCAACCGTGAAAAGCCTTTCAAAAGAGAAACCCCTTTCAAACAGTGTCGCATTCCGAACGTTGTTTAAGTGACATACACCCAGCACTAGCGTGAACCAGTCTTAACTTTGATAAAGAATATCTCTTTGGGTTTGAGATTAGTCTTTGCAACTTCAGGGATCTTATCTATTCACGAACAGCTTGTAAAACTCCAAAGAGAAAGGAAAACTTGAAATCGCATCATATGACCCCTTTAAGACTGGTTTTGTGCTCCAGGGTCACAAATGGATTGGATCTTTAGACCTAATAGAGGTGCTCGCCCTTATCTGTGCTTTTTAAACTGGCTGGATGTAAAATGAAATGCTGATGAATGTAACTTTTCTGCTTACGGAGTTAGAAATCCTTCTTTTAGCAATGCTGCATAAGTTTAAGTCCTGCCACGTTATCCCTATAAAAGTAAGTCTAGCATCAGCATTTATCATTTAAATTATTTAAATGCAAGGCTGTACTTTTTACATCGTATTTATTTGAATTCGATATTTTATACTTTTCATTAATTTTTTTACATATTTTTATTTAATTTTTTTACATTTACATAATGTTCACTTACAGTGCAGAGCATAAATGAGTACACCCTCTCTGAATAAATATAAAATATGTATGTATTTTCTTAATGATCACTAATATAATTCATGGAAAGATGGCAAAATTGAAACATATTAAACATATACTGTATAAAAACAACAAAATATATGCCAGTATTTTCTGTAAGATAAGTAAATTAGCAGATTTTCTTTAAATGAAGGATTGCAGAAATGAGTAAACCCTAGATTTGATTCAGAAAATGTATAATATTCTAGTACTTAGTATGTCCTCCAGAACTTAAAGTATACTGCTCTGACCCTTCTTGGCACTGGGTGTACAGGTTCATGACAAATTTTCACATCTGTGCTGTTTAACTCCTGGAGGACCTCCTTAAATGCTCTGATCTTTAATGGGGAGTGTTGCTCAGCTCGTCTCTACAGAATCTCTCACAGCAGCTCAAGAGTGTAATTTTCTTTTGAGTGAAATACATGTCCACTGAAGGATTTTCACCTTGGGAGAATGAATATATTCATTGTCATGCTGAAAAAATGCCCAATAATGCAGGGAATGAGAAGAGGGTAGCATCTTCTATTTCAGGTTTTTGTATTACATCACACAGTGGTGTGTGAATTCATGTCAGCATTGATAAAGCACAGCTCCCTCACACCTTCAGCACACATTCATCCCTATATAAAAGCTTTACTACCACTGAACGTCACTGTGGGTACCAAGCACTTCTCTCTGTACTCCTCCTCTAGCAACACCAGAACATGTTGGATGCTGTTAGATCTGAAATGATTGACTTGGTCTCTTGAGACCAGAGTATGGATTCCCAGAAGTCTCTGTTTTGTAAATATGGGCTCTGGAAAAAGCTAAATGAGTGTATTTTGCTTTGGCTACAGTAGGTCATTCTAGTGGTGACAACAACCATGCATGTCACTTCTGCATGCTGCATCATACTCTGTGAGATAAAGTGTCACTCTTTTCACAGCTTTTGCCGGCTGTGAGACACTTGCATGTTATTTCTCTAGCAAAAATTCACTCATCACTAAATGAAA